CTGACTCTGGGTTTGGGGGCAGAGGAAACAAATTTCCCCCAACTTGCAATAGGGTTGGAAAGAGGGGAGGTGAGGGAACTGCTCGATGTGGGTACGTGGGTTAAGTGTCTCTGTGCCTGTCCTGGTGTGTTCTGCTTGCAGGAAAAGTCAGTGTGATATTGAACGTGCTGGTCTTTGATATCTCTGTGGCTCCTATAAAAACCTCTGCAAATTGAATTCACAGCACAGCTTCTTATCTCCTGAAAGGAAGATGTAACAGCATCATCTTGTGTTTTAGCCAGACGTTTTCCCTCAACACTTCCCCATTTCTACACTAAGGGAAAAACAAATGTTGAGTCTTTTTTTTTCCCCTCCTGTTTGAAACATTAAGAGCCCTTCACACAAAGCAGCTCAAGTGCAGAAGAATTAATTGGGGAAATTAGGTTGTGCTGTATTCCTGGCATTTTCTCAGAAACAGTAATTGCCCTAATTCTCCACCCTGTCAAGACCTGCATCCGCACCCTGTTTTCCTCCTCCCCTTTTCCTCACTGCCTACCTGTTTTTCTCCTGCTTGAGTTGCTGTTTTCATGCTGTTGCCATTTATTTCATTCCAGTAATGAGAGGGATGTGGCAGGTGAAGAGCTCTCACAATCTGGTGACATCTTCTTTGAAGCACAGGCACAAAAGAGCAGTTTGTTTTTGGGAAATAAAAACTCCCTGCTCTGGTACTTGACCTCCACGCTCACCTCTTCTCCTGCTCGGGGTATGTTACTGCTGTCATTGCAAGTCATTTGGCTCAGGGTTTTTGTTTAATAGAGTCTCAATATTCACCTAAACAGTGACCTCCATGCTTAACCTCTCTGTGTTCCTCCAAACCACCCAAACCCTCACACACTTACTGAGAACTAATCAAACTCAGGATCTTTCAATCAAATCTCAGCCCCACTCCCAGGCATTTGAATTGAGGCTTTTGATTTCTCCCAACCACTGGGCTGAGATCCAGAGGCCTGAGAACTCAAAGCCTTTCAGTTTAGCTTCCTGATGGTTTTTAACCTTCAATTTGCAGAGATCATAGATGTAGCCAAACAGGGAGGAACATTTTTTTTGTTCAATATTTCCTAAAACACCTGGTGATATACATGGCAGGTTCGGATTCGATGGAGATGACTCTTCCAGTCTTCCCCATGCTGACTGGACTTTGGCTGCTCTTAAAAGCTGTCCAGGCTGATCTCTGCTTTCCTGAGAGCTGGAGAGAGTGCTGGGAGTAACCAGTCAAATGCTGGAGCCAAGTGAGAGCTAGTGATACCATCCCCAGAAGTCAAGAGATTCAGTTCAGTTCAGAAAGCTGGGGTTGTTTCTCAGTGCAGCCAAACTACCAAACCTGTGCAGTAAAAACTTGAGACAGCAAATTTCCTGCAGGGAGTTCAAGAGCCCTTTCCTTCAAAGCAATTTCCTTCCCATAAAACTTAACTAGGGAGGGCAGAACTCTTTTCCATTTTCAGTGTTCCCTGGGTGCAGCCAACAGATCCAGGGAGGCAAGAGAAGCTACTTGTGATCCCCATCCATCCTTGAGTAATTTTCCCCTCCCTCTGACTATAAGACTGTTTTTTCCCTCTGTTCTAATTTTTTTTTTAATCCAAGTGTGATTCCCAACACCTGCTAGAGGCTGCCTGCATGCAGTGTGCTTGCTTCCTCCTGCTGTCCCCCCTTGGAACATCCCATTAGCCTGAAAGCTGTGACACATAGGGAAAAGAACACAATGCCTCATTTTGAGCCATGAAAGACTCTCCCATGGTGGAGATCCATCCAAAAGTGTCACCAGAAACAAAAGGATTTTGTAAGGTCAGGTCATAGAAGCTGATGGTTCCTGGGTTTTACCAAGGTGGCCTGATTTAAACTACAGCTACAGCAGAAGGAGGTAGAGAACCATATGCCAGCAAGCTTCATTATTCCAGCATAGGTGGACCAGAAAGAGTATGGGTCCTTCTCAGCATATGGAAATGAACAGCTCATGCTTTGGGAGGAGCACTGCCACTTGCAATTGAGGGTAACCAGGATGTGTAAATGTAAAACTCTCCCCCCTCGTTTTGTTGTTGTTGAACCCATTTCCTCACTTCATCCCAGCTGGCCCCTGGCCTCTTCCTGCCTTGCCACCTGCAGGACCATGATCTCAGCTCTCCTTTATCATGGGTACAGCCAAGGGATCACATATTGGTCAGGAAAGGTGGGCAGCATCCCCAAACCTCAGTATCATCAGCAAAAGAACTGGAGGCAGAGAAGTTATTAGCCAGTTTAGTGAGAGCAAGGATAAATTACGCTTTGCTTCAAGACAAACTGAAGACCTTTCTAGAAAAATTAAGATGCAAGTATCTTCATCAACCTCCTTAATTAAGATGCTTGCATGGAATTAAACCACTGTTTTTCATTTTTCTCCTGATTCCTGCATGGTCAGAGTTTCTGTAGACTTTCCCCTCCCAATATCCCCCCAGTTTCATGGTCCTGCCTCTCTCACAGCCCCAGCAAGTTCCCTCTCCCTGCCAGCTGGATGGAGAAAGCCCCTATTTGCAAGCAGCTGTCCTTAATACATAGGCTGTTTAGGGCTCAGCTGTCAAAGAGATCATGTTCAATGTAAAATCAAGGGGCAACGATGCACAAAATTGCACACACACATGAAATGGGAATCTTTTCTCAGTGCGTGTTGAGCTTTGAACGCTTAAGTGATTCCACCTCTCTCTTCCCCATCCAATTATGTGGGCAACACATGATAAGATTGCTAAAGGAATTAGCAAGAAAAATCTGTATACTGCCTAATCAATACTGTTCTCAGCAGAAGGCATCTCCCCTCTGGCCTCAGCCATGTTCTCATTTGCCCTCTGAAAAACACAGGTCCACCTTCTCTATTTGGGCAGTGGTGACCAAGTGGAACAACAGCAGTGTGTCTGTTGAAAATGATTGTAGTTTCAGAGTTTCTTCCTTGCCTTAAAAAAGCCCCAAAACCTAAAAAAAAACAAAAAACCAACAAAACCCAAAATGTTGTAGAGCCCTGCCAAACACATATTTCAGGGTTTTAAAGAGGTTTGCTGTGTAGGCCAGAGAGACTTTCCATCCCTTTCCGCTGTATGGCCTTACAGGAATGGTCAGCAACCTTATAAGCAAAGACAAGGAATGATAATTTTTCTGAGCATCACTGAGGCAAGACGCCAGATTTTATGGGCCACCAGACTGATCCAATATAGCAAATCCTGTGTTCCACTGTGGATTCTGAGACCAAATTATCAATTAATGTGAAGCATTAAAAAATTCAAATCCCTTTTAGTTCCCTGCAGTCATTAGTGACAAGATGCAATATCTATAGCTCAAATGCTTTGCCAGCATCCCCTGGCAGCAAGGCAGAAACTTCATTCCTATTTTTTCAAACATATACAAAGAAAACATATGAGATCAGTGTTTTTTACAGTCAAATTCGGCTGCCTGTCCATATTTACTTAGATGGAGGAATAAATCAGGTTTGGGTTACTCTTCGGGTCACTTATTTGTTATTGGAATAAATGCATGGTAATAGATCTGACAGAGGAAGATGTTTCCCTTTCAGCTCTGTGTTTGAGGTAGAATTTGCTTTGTTCTGCACTATATTATATCGATGTTTTTTTCCCCACTGCTGGATGACTTCATTTGCTCTGCTTCTTTCCAGCTTCCATACCTCTGCCACAGCTGGCTTTAGGATACAGCTTTTTGCATAGATTTCTCTTTTCCCCCAACTGTAACACTGTAATGCAGAAGCAATTTTAAACAACCAGCATGAACCAATTTTCTAAACCTTTCCCCCACCCATTTCCTACCTCAACTTTTTGGGAAGAGGCATGAGTCAGTCATTCTAGGGGCAATTCCCCAAGCAGAATGAGCTGTCATCTACATTTAGCAGCTCAGTTTCCACTGCTAGTGCAGGGTGGGAAGGTGCCAGGGCAATGACCATCTGGACACACCCTGAGGGTGTATTTTGTGAGTTCCCCAGTTAGCTCTCAGCCTGAGCGCCTCAGTAACCCAGTGAGAAGTGTGTTACACCAAATCACCATGCTCAACAACTGCCCTTCCATCTTGGAATTTTGTCATCTTTTTGTCCCAGTGGGAACACAAACAAGCTCACTAGAAAGTCAGCAGAGCTTATGCCAGTCCTTCACTCTCAATTTGCTCACTGAGATCCCTATCCATTTTCCTCTCTCCCATTCTCCAAATCTCTCCTACTTTGATGCAGAGGAAAATGTAGTGCTGCATTTCCTGCTCCAGCATTTTGCTTCCCTTGTCCCTTCCTAAGCTCCAGTTTTGTGAGCGCTGGCAGGTTTGTGGGTGATTGGAAGCTGTGGGTTTAGGTATTTTCTTCCCCAACCTGTGACAGTACTGATGGGACGAAGACTTTTGGGCAAGTGTAGGGTGATGTGTGAGGTGCTTCACTGGTACATTTGGCCAACAATACCCTTGACTCTGGCTAGCCTGAGTTTGCTTGAGTAAAGATATCAGGCCTGAGTCTTGTTCTGCTGGCAGAGGCAGATGAGTCCCTGCACTGTGCCCAGGACGGCTGGCAATGGGCAAGGAGCAGGATGCTTAAGTACTAGATATGGAGAAACTGCTCAAGCATCCTAAAACTTATCTTGTCTGGAGAAGAATTCTGCGTCCCCCAAGGGATGACATTCTAGGTGGCTTCTCAGACCAAGGAGAAGTTTCAGGAGGCTGAGTCCCCCTTGATTGTTGCCCAGCTCACCCTCCCTCTGCACTGGTGCATGTGATTGTGTGGGGGCAAGGTGGTGGTGACTGGGGCCAGAAGGTCTCACCTGCCCCTTGCCCTCACAGCAAGGGCTGCATAGTGTTGGGATGTTGCAGCCAGTGAAAGACTTATGGTTCAGTTAAAGACATACCCTTTCCCTTCTTGTCCCCTTGCTTCATCCCCCCCATCCCTCCCTCCCTCTCTCACCCTTCCCTTCTCTTTTGTTTGTCTCCTTCCCTTGTTTTCACCCATTCACTGTCAGGAAGGGCCGCGTCCGAAGGGCCAGTTCAGCGCAGCGTGGCAGCGACAGAGACTGGCACCGCCGGCAGCTGCAACAGTGAGTGCATCTCGAACCCTGGGGCAGCTGGAAGCGGGGGACTGGTGCTGCTTGAGCATGAAATGACACCTGGGGTTGAGTGGCTCTGGGACTAGATCGGGTCTAGAGTGTTTTGGCAGCAAAGGGGCTCTTGTCTGTGGTGGGAACTGCACACGTTTCTACTTTAGCGGCTCTCTGGGGCTTCTTTGTGTGGTGAGATTTTGTGGGATCAACGGAGAAGTCCTCAGTGCAACCTTCCTCTGTGAGTAACTAGGCTGTGCCTGCACTAGTGGACAGTGCAGGCTGTCCTCAGGCTCTGCTGGCAGCAAGTGCAGCAGGTTTTGTCTCTGTGCAGCTAAACCACCCCGTGACTCCAAGCAGCATGGCATTTGCACTGTTCACTGGGACTGTCCCCTCAACAGCTGTTTGGATGGTCAAATTGTCATGGACTAAAACCAGACCATTTGAACAGCTGGACTGTCAGATGCCAGCCCTGACACTTTTCTCTGCTGGTCTGGACACCTTTCTCTGTACCTGACCAGTTGGGTGCCTGCAGCTCCAGTTGAGTGACTATCAGCTATCACTGCCCACTGCTGGTCCCACCCCTTGCCCAGCGGGGAGACAGTGAGGGATTGGTGGAAGTTTGAAGCTCTGACAGAGCAGCAGAGTTTGGTTTTGCCAAGGCAGTGGCTGATGGGAACCTTGTGAACTGTGTGAGCCTGCTGAGGGCTGGTTACACCTCTGTCTACCCTGCCCTCCCTCCCACAGAGCCAAGCCAGCATCCCGTAGTGCTGCAGCCTCTGTGTAGGATCCTCAGCCCGATATGTCCCCAGCTGTCACAGCATCACAGAAGCCTCCTCCAGCCAGCTGGAGGGTGAGCTGCAGAAGCCTGTGAGAGGTACAAACATAAAACTTGGTTGTCCTGTGGGGTTTTGCTGCTGGCACACAACACAATGCTCTGTTGATCCAGACAGTTAGGGAGCCTTTGCTTGAGCCCATTCTGGAAGTGGAACGATCTAATCCACCCAAGCTGCAGAGCAGTTAGGACTCCTTGTAAATTAGGACTTTATTTCTCAATAGCTTCCCTGTGCCAGCAATCCCAGAGAGATGGGCATAAATATTTACAAAGTAGCCATGGCAGGGATAAATTACTGGGTCCAATTACCCAAACCTCCCAGTGGCATTGCAAGGGGAGGTATGTGCTTCTGGCCAGGTGATGCAGGACTGGCTGTCCCACCACCCCGTGTCACGACCACTCCTCCTGCTCCAGCAAATGCCTGCATAGTTTTAAGTAGCTGAGTGGATCTTGCAGATTGAAGGAGCAAGTTTCTGGCACTTCCTGACTGTTGCCAGAATCACGCGGGAGTGCGAGTTCAGATATTGCTGATTTTGCAGGGGATATGTCAGCAGACAAGATTTGCCACTGAAAGGTGATTTTGTTACGTTTATGCCTTTCTGAGCCAAAATTGAATTGTGGGGTGTGGATGGGAATTTAGTTCTAAGCACTGATGTAATTTTGTATCCTTGGCCCTGAAGGCAGTTTTAAAAAAATTATTTTCCCCTGTGCCCTGACACTCTTTTTTTGCCTTTGAATCATGTCCTTATGACAGAACAAATACTAGGGTTGACCTTTGCAATGTGACATAATAATATGTGATTTCTTTATAGCTCTTTTCATCCAAAATTCTTGGCACACTATGAATCTGATCTTGCAACCACTTGCCACTGGGCTTAGCACTCACTGCTCCAAGCAATCCCTAGGGAAGCCAGAGGAGCACAGAAGTGCTATACTTGAAGGATCAGGACTTAGAGAAATGTAGCACATGTCTGTGAATAGCCATATTTTGGAGAGAGAAAGCCTTACCTTCTGATTTATTATTTTTATTTGCTATTAGAGTGCCATGCCCAGCACTAACATGACAGCCTCCTCTTGGTTACAGTGTCATGGCAGGTAATCCTGGGGCTGTGTTCATAGCTGTTATCTACCACCCTCTTGCCTTTTTATTATTATTTTTTTTCCAGCTCTAAAAGCATGTTAATTAATAAAATCCCTTAGCTTATCCTGCACCATTTGATCCTGCAGAAATCACAGCATTTTATCTTATTAGCAAGTAGGAATTAAAGAATTAAAACTACTCAGGGGGGAAAAAAAGAACATAATCTCTTTCCCTGGTCATCCCTTGTGAAACAACCTTGCACCACGCCCTTAGAAACCCCAAGCTCAGCCCCCGTGGCTTGACAGAGGATGGAAATCCCAAATCAGTGAGTGCTTGATCTGAAAACCACTTTGTGTTCTGCTATTCCTGCTATGAAAGGGAGAACCCAGTAGGTGCATGGAGAAGAGTCCAGCAGTGAGATCCCAGCCTTGGACTGGGCTGCAGGTCCATTCCATGCTACTGTTGTCCTCTGCTGCCATAGAAAATTCAGTTAGTTCTCCTGTGCCTCAGTTTCACATTGTTGAAAGGTGATCCCTGCTCATCCTCACCAAGGAGATTCACATGAAAAAAAAGATTACAAGGGATGCAATCATTATGGTGTTGGGAAACAGGTAAGTACCTTAGGAATATGTGGGGAATCTGAGAGCTGAGACATTTGTGGTGATGTTGCAAAGAGTGAATTTTGGAAGAACTTAGTAGCTGTAAAATTCAAAGAGTGAAGCAGGTAGGATCCTTGCACCCACCTCTGCTTGGTATGTTCAAGATGGGTAGAATCAGGAAGGAGAACTTCTCCACCTTCTTTTTGATGGGAAGTGGTTAAATCTGGGGATGGAGACCCACTAACCATCACTAGGTGTCTACACACCTCAGCACTGTTTGCCATCAGTAGAGCACTGCATCTTCCCCACAATTTTAAAAAAATTCCTTAAAAAATAAATTCGTTAGGAGTAAAGAGATCTGGAAGGGATTCCCTGGATCATCAAATCCAATCCCCTGCTGCATCAATCACATCAGATTTATCCTTTTCATAATCAAGCACCACTATTAAATGTGCTCCTAAGGGAAGACAGTCCCAGAATCTCATTGCTTTAAATTGGAGATGCTCCTGATTTCCAGCCTGTGCTTAGTCATGGCCCGTTTGTTAAACAGCAGGTACCTGGCACAGAAGCAAGAAATTTAACACAGTTTTCTTAAAATAACCACCCAGAAATTCTATCCACAAAAAAATGCTGAGGTTGCAAAAGAGAACGTGCAAGGTCAGGTAATGATAATGGGGAGGCCTGAGCTCACACTTGCCTCTGCCTTGTAGTACACACTTCACATAATCGCCTGCCGTTAAAGCTTGTCTGGTCCAGGTGAGGTACAAGGCAAAAGTACTCACAGAACAAAGGAACTTCTTTGCTGTTCTTCACCAGCATATTCATTGTATAATCCTCTATCTTTTTTTGCCAGGTATAACTAGCTAAACGTTTATAAATAAGCTAAACATTTTACTATTTTTTCTTTTGCTGGCAGGCTTTTCCATCCCATTTATATTTTCACTGTACAAGCCATCACCTGCACTGCATTCTTGAGAAGTCAATGAGTTCATAGAATCATGAAATGGTTTAGTTTGGAAGGGACATTAAAGACCATCTCGTCCAACCCCTCAGTCCTTGTGGGCAGGGATACCTTCCACTAGACCAGGTTGCTCAAAACCCCATCCAACCTGGTCTCGAACACTTCCAAGGGTGGAGTTGCACTGCCCCATTTTACAGATTAGGAAAGAAATTCCAGAGCTATCAGCCATACAAACCCATGGAGCTGCAAGGGCAACTTCCCCCCTCCAAAATGCCCCTGGCTTTATCCAGTGCAGTCTGAGTCACTCCAAACCATGTAATTGCTGGTGCAGCAGTCTGCCCTGTGGCACACAGTGTACAATGCATGTCATGGAAATGATGGGATGCTCTAGACCTATGACTTGTCTAGTTAGTTAAACAGAGTGCACAATAAATGGATAGAGGAGAGAACTACTGAGTGCAGACTGAGGCACAAAACCTCAGTGTTACCCATTAGATGTGACCCAGCCTAGCTGTGACCCAATGGCACAGGAACTCAGTGCTTAGCTCGGGCCTCTGCTGCACAGCATGGCCAGAGTGACTAAGGAGAAGGCATTTTTTGCCAAAACCAGGTTTGGAACTAGGACGCTGCAATTCCATGTTTGCTTATTTAACTTGGCAGGTGTTCAAGTGAAACAGGCACAGAGGGGAGGTGTCAGAGCTGATCTCGGTACCCGCATGTGGGATTTTGACTTTCTATTTCAGTGCTCCTGTTTAGAAAAGAAATGCATGCAAACCACCCCCCTCTCCTCTTTTTTTTTTTTTTTTAAAGCACTATTTAAATGTCATGAGAATGATACAGTGCCCACCTTAATGTGCCTAACAAATTAAAATATTTTATTAGCCTATAATCTGAAAATCATTACTGTGCTTACTATAAAAAACTGAAGGTCTTCAGAGGGAATGATGTCAGTGGGTCTAAAATGTATGCAAATGTATTCCACTGCTACAAAGGTACCAGGGGTCAGACAGGCAGTCCCCAGCCCTAGGGCAACAGGCTGTTAGTGTGGGAGGGAATGAAATGCATCTCATAGTGGGGAGGGAGAAAATGGATCTCTTGGCTGATTTTCCTGGAGTTTTGCAGGGTGAATGCCTGGGGCTGTGCCTGGCTGGTTGGGATGGTTTCAGAGGGAAGCGTTCATTGGTGCTGCTCCCACGCAGTGAGAGTAAGGAAGCACTCCAGACGGCTCATCCCAGTCATGGAAGAGCTGCTTGGAACCTCTGGCCCTATCCTGCTTGCACGGACAGCATGGGGGCCTGCTCCCCTCAGGCAGAGACATGCCTCCTGTGTGCACTTCCTCCTGCAGATGACTCTGGATGTGTCCCTCCAAATAACTGATTCCTAGCACAGGACAGGCAGAGACAGCTGCATCTAAGAAAGTGGCCCATTCCCACTGTCCCAGCGGCAGTGCTGGTTACTCCTCACCGCCCTGGGCAAGTGTCAAATGGTTCAAAGATTAATTACCATTTAACCGGCTGTATTTCC